CTAAAAAAGCGCACACTAGTAATTTGTAGTGAACACAAGCAGAACACTACAAACATTTGTAATGAAAAAAGCGCACACTACAAACTTTTGTAGTCTAAAAAAGCGCACACTAGTAATTTTGTAGTGAACACAAGCAGAACACTACAAACATTTGTAATGAAAAAGCGGACACTACAAACTTTTATAATGAAAAAAGCGCACACTACGAGCCTTTGTAATGAAAAAAGCGAAGACTACAAACTTTTGTAGTCCAAAAAATGCACACTACAAACTTTGTCATTAACACAACCAGAAGACTACAAACCTTTGTAATGAAAAAAGCGCACACTACAAACTTTTGTAGTCTAAAAAAGCGCACACTAGTAATTTTGTAGTGAACACAAGCAGAACACTACAAACATTTGTAATGAAAAAAGCGCACACTACAAACTTTTGTAGTCTAAAAAAGCGCACACTAGTAATTTTGTAGTGAACACAAGCAGAACACTACAAACATTTGTAATGAAAAAAGCGCACACTAGTAATTTTGTAGTGAACACAAGCAGAACACTACAAACATTTGTAATGAAAAAAGCGCACACTACAAACTTTTGTAGTCTAAAAAAGCGCACACTAGTAATTTGTAGTGAACACAAGCAGAACACTACAAACATTTGTAATGAAAAAAGCGCACACTACAAACTTTTGTAGTCTAAAAAAGCGCACACTAGTAATTTTGTAGTGAACACAAGCAGAACACTACAAACATTTGTAATGAAAAAGCGGACACTACAAACTTTTATAATGAAAAAAGCGCACACTACGAGCCTTTGTAATGAAAAAAGCGAAGACTACAAACTTTTGTAGTCCAAAAAATGCACACTACAAACTTTGTCATTAACACAACCAGAAGACTACAAACCTTTGTAATGAAAAAAGCGCACACTACAAACTTTTGTAGTCTAAAAAAGCGCACACTAGTAATTTTGTAGTGAACACAAGCAGAACACTACAAACATTTGTAATGAAAAAAGCGCACACTACAAACTTTTGTAGTCTAAAAAAGCGGAGACTACAAACTGAAGTGGTATTATGTAATGACTTTCCCAATTGGGAAATATGCGAACATTGTCATGAACAATGACAACACTAAGCTAGCCACTAACTCTTGTGGCCCAAAGAGCGTGGGAAACAGTTCCCAACCTAAATGCGCACTGTGCCTGACATTAGGTGTGGCAGAAAAAAGTGTAACGCTTTTCCTGATTAGGAAATGGCCCAATTAGGAAATAGTGCGCACATCATCATTAACAATGACAACAAGGACCCCGGTCAATAGCAGAAACGGTCTGGTCCCGATCCGGACAAAAAAATTGGATTTTTGCAAATCGGCCGGGAGCCAGTCCAGACAGAAAGTGACCAAACGTTGAAACTAGCCAGAACCCCAGCCCGGACAGGATTGCTCAGGGCACATACACCCTCAGGCAGCAATCCGGACAGAAGGTCTCTTAGCTGAGTCGTCAAGCGCGCGATATGGCGTGTGCCACTCTTCCCTGAGAATGGATGTTCGATCCTTGCACTAAACATTTTGTGCACTGTCCTTACTTTTCACGTGTTTTTGTAGTTGTTATGCTCAATAAGCCTGGATAGCCTGTCAGCCATTCCAGGAACCTCATGGACTTTGTAGATAGATTGAGAATACTGATTCTTGTCTGTTGAAGCTCTGGGGGCGTCTCTGGACTCTTTGCGCCTACCTGGGCCGTTTTTTATGCCCTGGAATGGCTAGATCTGCAAATCCGGACAAATTTTTGCCGAAAAACCCCCAGATCCACCAACCTGGACAAATTTACAAAATTTGAGGTAGGCCAGGTACAATCTGGACAGAAACTGCGAAATGGCGTCCAGACAAAACCCCCATTTTCGAGATCAGACCGTTTCTGCTATTGACCGGGGTCCTTGACAACACTAAGCTAGCCACTAACTCTTGTGGCCCAAAGAGCGTGGGAAACAGTTCCCAACCTAAATGCGCACTGTGCCTGACATTAGGTGTGGCAGAAAAAAGTGTAACGCTTTTCCCAATTAGGAAATGGCCCAATTAGGAAATAGTGCGCACATCAAAGCGCACACTTCAAAGTTTTCTAACTAAGCTTGTCTTTTCTAATGAAAAAAGCGGACACTACAATTTTTGTAGCCTTACTTTGGTTAAAGCTATTGGTAAATATATGTAAACAAACTTCGAAATGAGGGTTTTCTGCCTTCCTCTGCATAGATTATGGTTCCTGTGATATTTTAAGCATCTATCCCATCAATCTCTTTTTCATTGAGCATAGCCACACCTTCCATATTTAGAAATTCACACTGGATCCTGAGTACAGCACCTCAAACATCAAACAACATGGTATGGTATGGGAGTGGAGTACCATGGTATGGTATAAGGGTG